GATTTTCCTCATTTGTGGAGTATAACAATGAAACAAAACTGAAGGAATAAAACAGCAGCAGACTCACAGACTCCACAAGGGACTAGCAGTTACCAAGGGGGAGGGGTGGAGGAGGGGGTGGGGAGGGAGGGAGAAGGGGATTGAGGGGTATTATGATTGGCATACATGGTGTGGTGGGGGTCATGGAGAAAACAGTGTAGCACAGAAAAAGCAAGTAGTTAATCTGTGGCATCTTGCTACACTGATGGACAGTGACTGCAATGGGGTGGGGTGGGGGACTTGATAATATAGGTGAATGTAGTAACCACATTGTTTTTCATGTGAAACCTCCATAAGAGTGTTTATCAATGTTACCTTAATTAAAAAAAAAGATCCCGGCCTCAACTCACAGATTGAGGAATCTCATGGACCATCTGGTATAGCCCCTTTAATTTCGTACATAAACTGAGGTCTGGGAGAGACACTCAAGCCCAGCATAGGACCAGTAAGAGGCTGAGCCAGGATTGGACCCCATATGCCCCAACTTCTGGACCCTTCTCACTTGCAGTATCATGATTATTGCAGTAACAGGACCCAGAAACCTGCCTTCATCCCAAGTGGTCCCACTGCCAAACTGGCAAACTCCTATTCACTCTTCAGGTCTCAGCCTGGAGTTCACCACCTCCAGGAAGCCTTCCTTGACTTTCCCAGAGGTTGGATTGGACACACCTCGTCCTTCATGCTCCCTCAGGCCTAGCCCTTCCATGCTCTTTCCCAGCTACCTGTTGGTGGTCTCCCCACTAGACTGGAAGCTCAGGGCTTGGAGGGTGCCTGTCAGTCTGTTTCACATGCCTGTGCTGAAAGCCCCCAGGTCATTCATTCATTCATTCGCTCAAGGAATAACTTTATGCAGGTCCTCTAGGCTGGGGTGAGAAGACTTGGGTTGGAGAATAAAAGAAAGAGACTGGGGGAGAGCTTCAACAAGTGCCAAGGACTTTGGAAATGCTGAGTGCTTCTCAGTGAAGCTGGAGGGTCCGGCCTCTGACGCCTACTATGCCAATAACCCCCCCATATGCCTTTCCCACAGATGTGCTCAGCCGGTCTCAACAACACGCAGGACAGGTTCTACTCTACCCATTTCACAGAAGGGATCTAAGCAGAGAGCAGAGGCTCTTGGTGGAGGACACGTAGCTGGTCTGTGGATCTCCTAGGTCCCTACAACCTCTACTGTAACACAGCAAAATCCTCAAAGGGCAGGGGAAGCACCAGCCTGAGGTGAGAGAGAGGCTGTGCTGGGAAAGTGTCGCCCACAGACCAGGAGACCTGGGATCCAGTCCAAACCTCACTGTTGGTTAGCTGTGTACCGTGGGGAATTCACCTAACCTCTCTGACCCTCAGTTACTTTATCTGAAAAATCGGCTTGGTTTAACACTTGTCCTACTCTATCTACTAGACAGTCTTATTTTCTTAATAAAAACTTACGCCCTGTGGTAGAACAAGTCCAATTCCACTTAGGCAACAGAAGAGAAAAAAATGAATCCTCAAGACACGTGATTCGTAAATCCTGGGGCCTCGGGCGGTGGGACGTGTGTTTCTCACACACCCACCGGGAGGGGGCCTGCAGCGGCCCCACGGCCCCAGGTGGTGGGAGTGAAAAGGGCGAGTCAGCTAATTCAAGAGCATCTGCTGGGCCTCCACACACTCAGCCCCACGAGGAAATGTGAGTGGACCCCCAAGGAGGATGGGGCGGCCAGGGCCTGAGATGCACTCAAGGGAGTGTACTAGGGCTTACAAGCCCTTCATGTTACTATCATGGAGTCTTCCAGAAGCTCTTGGATGCAGGGATCATTCCCTAGCTCCATCTTAGAAGGGAAGATAATCAGTCTCAGAGAGGGGAAATGACTTGCCCAAGGTCACCCTGTAGTTGGGCTGGAAAACTGGCTTCCCAACCCCCAACGCCTATCCTCCCCACCCTGAAATGACCACCATAACACAACTCTGGTTCCTGGAGCCCCTCCTTACTCGGAGCCAGGATCGTTCCCGCTCTTCCCACAGGTTATTCTGCTTCATCTTCAAACCACCACATTTTTCAGCTGAGGACTTGGGTAACTTCCTTGAGTCATTACTCGAGGTTTCACTATGGAGATACGAGGCCAGTATTGTCTGATAGCAAAACCCAGCCTCCCGGGAGGGGCTGGGAAAGGTTGTGGGGAGGGTTTCCTGACCTGTCCCTGCAGGCTGGACAGGCCCTCAAGGGAGGCTCCACTGCCACCTGGGACACAGGAAAAGTGCACACACCGAACCATCTTACAGAGCCAGTACAACGCTCTCCAATCCTCTGCCCTTTGCCCTTCCCCAAAAGCCCCAGCACTTGCCATCCTCACTCAAAAGGAGGAGTCAAACCATCCAGGTCCCAGACCAGAGAACTCCCCCACCTCCAACTCCAGTGGCACAGCCCCTGGGGCTCCTAGGGCAACAGAGCTGCCTTGGGTCATCAAGGCCCGCATTTTACAGATAGGTCAGCTGGGGCCCTGCACAGCCAGCCACCTGGCAGTTTGGGGCAGAGGTGAGACTCTAACGCAGGTGCCCGCCTGGGCCAGAGCCCCTCCCCTACACCTACATGCCCCTCAGCTGTCCATCCACACCCAGAGCCTGAATCTTAGGTCCCTCCTTCTCCTCCTCCCCACATCCACCAGGGATCTGAGGGAGCAGGAGCAAAGCTGGGGGTGGGGGTGCACTTCCTGATATGGGGGTGAGGGTTGCTGCAAAGCCTGCTCCCCTTGGTGAGCGCCCCCTTCAGGCTGCCAAGTACCAGTATTCAAGGATTCAGGTCACTGAGTCATTCAACAAACAAATATTTGCAGGCTACTTCCTGCCTATCTCAGAGTAGAGGCACCTCCTCTGGCCACCAGGCCATCCGCAGTCTTTGGGAACCATACTATAGATTCACTCATTCATTGAGTCAACAAACACTGAGGTCCTACTATGCACCAGTCGTGTTTCTCAGCCTCCTTTCTCTCCTCCCACTGCTAAACCCTCCCTTCCAGCCCTCAGCTCCTCCCTCTGCCCCAAGCATCCCCTGTGACCCCCCTGCCCTGGGAAAGAGGGCAAATCATGGGGGTGCTGGAGAGTCACACAACCCAGAGGCCAGAGGCAGGGCTGGACTGACTGACAGACACACGCACACCCTGTGGTTACCTGGTGCGGGCCAGGGCAGCACGGGCAGCTCCTCTCCGGCGGAGGCCTAGGAGGTACTGATGACTGGCCCAGGGGGCTGCTAACCCCGGCCCCCGCCCCTCTTCGTCCTCCGCCCCAGCCTGGCTGCATGGAAAACCCAGCCCAGGCTCAGCTCACTTCCTCTTGTGTCATGGAAATTGCGGGTGTGAGGACAGGAAACACCCACCAGGGATCTGGGGTCTGAGCAGGGACAGTGAGCCCGGAGGCTGGGAGGGGTTGGGGGAACAGGTAAGTAATGAGGGGTGGGTGGCAGGGAGGGAGTGGCCCCAGGAGGCAGAGGAGGGAGCCTACAGGGCAGCGGCTGAGGTTGGGGATGCTCTGGGAGTGTGGGGACCCCTTCTCCAGGAATGGGGGGCAGATGCCAAGCCCCAGAAGCCCTGAGCTACTTTCAGTTTTCCAAAAAACAAACGAAAAGATCAGACACCATACCCTCAACACGCTTCCCCTGGGGCTACACCTCGCCTGTAACGAAGACTCCGAAATCAAATCAAAAGACAAAATTTTTGTTTTTTTTACTTTTGGTAAGTGGGCGTGGGAGGTAGTGGCAAAGGCTGTGAAGGGAGAGAAATGTGGGTTAAATCTTAGTTTTTGACCTCCTGAGGTCAAGGACCTGACTTTCTGAGCCTCAGTTTCCCTCATCTGTGGAATGGAGAACTCCACCCACTTGCCAGAAAGGTTGGGAAGTTTAAGAAGCCACACTCCTGGCCCATGTAAGTGATGTAAGAGCTCTATACAACTTATTCAGGCCTGCAATTATGTAAACTGAGGGGCTATGAAGGGCCACTTGATGCTAACAGCTAATGTGACCAATAAAAGCTTTCTAAACACCAAAAGAAAATTTATCCAGAGGGGTCCTTGGAGTGTAAGCAGAGCAGGAACTATGTCTGTCTCCATCTCTGCACCCCGGGTGCTTAGCGCAGGGTGGAGTTGTGAATGAATGAATGGATGGATGGATGGATGGATGGATGGATGGATGAATGAATGAATGAGCAGAAAGTCTGGGATTTCCAGAGTCACAGGACAGGAAGGATGGCTGTGAGGGCAGGGATCAGGGCCCAAAAGGGCTGGTTGAGGCCAGAGCAGTGTTACCTCTGGGGGGAGAGGGGTGCCTCTGAATCCTGTGTGGGGTGGTGGGTGTATCCCCAGGAGCGATTAAGGAAGTCTTCCCCCCTGATCCCAGGCCTCAAGTCCTCCCCAACCCCTGTGAAGCACACCTCCCTGAAACCCTCCAGCACTCGTGTCAACAGAGACTGGAGGGGGTTGAATCATGGGGAGCTAAGTGGATATTCTGAGCAGCTGTCAACACAATCTGCCTGGCCCAGGGCGAGAGAGGACCCCAGCTCTAGGGACCTGGCACTGCTGGGAGGCCTGCTGGGACCCTTACCTCCAACACTTCACACTCAGCTGTGAGCACATCCCTGAGCCACTTCATGCCTGCCCAGCAGGAACCAGAGTCAAAGACCTCAAGGAGCCTGGGGCTGGGCCTCTGTCTACCGGACCCTGCAGGAGGGACTGCACCCAGCACAGGCCCCGCCTGGAAGCCTGGAGCCCTTCTCCAGTCCCCAGTCGCCCCCATCTGCTTGCAGAAACCCAGGGACACTGCCTCTTCCTCCACAGGCCAGAGGTGGAGTCCAGGCCCCCAGGAGCATCTGGGAGGGAGATCTCACACATGCGGACACACGCCCAGCGTTCGTGGAGGTGCCTCTCCGATCTTGCTGATGAAACCACCCGTGTGAGGGAACACCTCAGACTCCCTCCTCATCCCCATAAGGGGAGGTGTAAGTCTCATCTGGCTTCTCTTCACTGAGCCTGCCCCAAGAACTGGCATGCTGCCCCCCATTTCCCACCTCTAGGCCCCAGCACAGCTCAGCGCCATCTCGGTGAGACCCCTGCTTTGGGGCCTTGTCCTGCCCTCAGTCCCTCAGGCCTGCCCTCCGTGGGGCCGGGTCTCCTCCTCCCAGCAGGCCACAGCCCTGCTCAGGGCTGCCCACCCCTGCCTCAGCCCCAGGCTTCTCAGGCAGGAAGCTGGCAGACGCCAGGGCCACCATTCGCACTGGGGAACGGGGTTTTACTGGGAGGAAGTTGACAGTTCAACTTCAAACACAGTGACGCAGTCACTGCCTGCTTCCCCACCCCACCCCTGCCAGCACCTGCTCATCCCACCTCCTGCCCTCCAAGAGGGAGACACAGGGCCAGACACCCTCCACCCACGGGTGCCAAGCTCGCCGAGGCTGAGGCAGAAGGAGGCCGCACCCATGGAGTCTCAGCTACTGCCACTGGCTGCCCTGCTGCTGCTGGGGGTGCCGGGTGAGTATCCCCCTGGGGCGTCTGCCAGGGCACTGGGCTTGGGACATATCGGAGCTGCTGCTAGTTCTTGGGCTGACTCTGGAAGGGAGGAGCCCTGGCCCTGCGGAGGGCAGGCCTGAGAGAAGGAGGGGCAGGAGACAAGGCCGCAAGGCAGGGGTCTCACCGAGATGGGCTGAGCTGTGCTGGGGCCTGGAGGTGGGAAGTCGGGGCAGGATGCCAGTCCTTGGGGCAGGCTCAGCGACAAGAAACCAGACACTCCTACCTCTCTGGAGCATCACGGAGGGTTGACGGCCCCAGGCCCAGCTCGGCTCTTGGCCTTACTTGTCCCATTTGCATCCTAAGTCTGCTTCTCTCTGGCCCTGCTGGGAGTCCTGCTGATCCCTTCCAGGAGGGCTCCATGCTCAACCACACTCAGCCTAGAAATCAAGCC